AAAAACAAAAGTTTTGCTAGAACTAAAAGGGGTAATTAAAATTGATAAATAATGTTTAAATTAACTAAACTGTCATAATTTCCTTCTTAATTGGCAAGCCTTTTTTGGGCTAAACTTTTTGCCTCAACAAATTAAATTATTGGAAAATCATGAAATGATAACAGTTTGGCTAAAACGAGTGAAAGGAAATCTGAAGGATATATTTTAAAAGAAAGATTTAGGGAATAAGAATGTATAATACACGAATACCGCTTTCACTCCTGAAAACTTAAAGGTCACCTTAAAGAAATTTCTGTCTCTTTATTTTTCCAATGAGGTAAAATAATCCTGAACTAAGAATCAGTTATGGGCAAAAGTCATGGGAAATAGCTATGCTTCAATGTTACCATCAATAACGTAATGTCTACAAGCAAGTATGTACTTGAATAAGAGAGTATGCAAATATTAAACTGATCTATTTTAATCAACATCCTCAAAACATTGCATTCGTGATTTCGGTCGATCTACATGACCAAAAGTCAAGAGCAAGATCTCATTTTGCCATATGTTTTGTTTCTTTTTGTCAAGAGAAACTTTTGTAGGGTCAAAAAAGGTTGACCCTTTCCAGGGTTAAGGATTTGGCCAGCGTCCTAAATGACCTACAGCTAAGCAACTAACATTCACTGTGACATGTTTTTGAGCGCCTGAACAGCTAGCGTTAGCTCACACGCTGCTTATATTTGTTTTTCTGTCCCTCGTATGGCAAAGCTCTAAGTCATTCTACGTAATGCCTTCCCCCTAATTCCTACGTCTCTTCCACTTGATCAATCCTGTGACATCAGCAAGGCATATTGAAGCAGACAACATCGTTCCTAGGCTCTTCACTTAGGAAAGAAGGCAAAGAAGACAAGGGGTCTGAAATCTAAGTTACAAAAGGGACACGCCTACCCTTTCCCAGACTTTTTCCTAGACAACTAGGCAAGGAAGAACTGGGCTTTAAGCTGGATGCCTCCATGTAACCGCTCTTCAGGGCGGTTTGCTCTTCTAGCTCTTTACTTATCCCAGGTTGATGATAAAACAACTGACTTTGGATCAATGTCAAACTTGAACTTGAACTTTGAACTTTATTTTTTATTTAGACACGGCAAATCTATCAGATAAAATAATAATATTATTACAATCTATTATTACAATTACACAAACATTAGCATACTGTTAGCAACTTTTTTTTTAATGTACCAGAGTTATCACCCTGCATTTCATCTAATATTGCATCTTTAATATCATTCTTCTATGGCTCTTGTTGCTGTTTACAAGGATCGTCGTTAATTAACTAATTACTTTGATTATGGGTCTACCCAGGAGGGGAGGGTACTCCTTCTTTGGGCTAAACGGGCACGTGTTGCGGGACAGGGTATGCCTTTTTCCGGCCTTGCTGTCCTGAACAGAGTATACATTGTACTCGCCTATGTCCTAAGCCTATAGCATTACGAGCCGAGAGACGTTAGGTGCCGCTGTTTTTGGTATCCTTTACTTTTAATCTTTTCCTCTTATCAGTATTATAACAAGTGTGCGTTGACAGAGTAGATCGTACAATTAGGTCTAGTTTCTTTGTTTTGGATAATGTGATTACTCACAAGTAAACATATCTTTTTGGAAAATTATACAGTAATTGAAAGGTAAAGGTATCATTTAGTTTAATTTTTTTTTCTATTTATCGTTACTATGACAAGCGCGCATTGACAGAATAGATCGTGCCGTTGGGTCTAGCTTCCGTGTGTGGGATAACGTGATTAGACACCAGTAGACAATTCTTTTTGGAACATCAGGCATTAACTGAAATAATCATTTATCTTTAATTCGCTTCTANTGCCAAATGCAGGTTTTAGAAGCAAGGCAAAGAAGATTCCTAAAAGGGTTGGGGGCAAGTACGCAGCTCTGTTTGACGCCGCTGCTTATGTTGAATGGCTCAGAGATGCTGCCGTTGAACTGCACAGTCCCCTGCATGTTGGTGTGGAAGGGCTCAATCAGGCTGTGTAGTTTAGGAGGGCAGCCAATTTTGGATAGGATTCTAAGTAGACCCTCTCTGCTGACGAGGTTGAACGCCTTGGTGAGATCGATGAAGGCGATGTACAGCGGCATCCGCTGCTCTCTGCACTTCTCCTGAAGCTGGCGGAGGGAGAAGACCATATCTATTGTTGATCTTTCAGCTCGAGAGCCGCATTGAGACTCTGGATAGACACGCTCAGCTAATTTATGTAGTCGGACCAGACTTTGCCCACAGTACTAAGTAAGGAGATGCCCCTCTAGTTGATGCAGTCATTGCGTTGTCCCTTGTTTTTGTAGAGGGTGACGATCTTAGCATCTCTCATGTATTGTGGTACAGCCCCTTCTCTCCAGGGCTCACACAGGACCTCATGTACAGGCTGTAATAGTGTAGTCTTGCAGTGTTTTATCAGGTCAGGGGGGATCCCGTCACTGCCTGGAGCTTTCCTTGAGGCCAAACTGTTGATAGCCTTGCTGAGTTCGTCAATAGGAGGTTCGCTATCAAGCTCTCCCATGACAGGTAGGCATTTTATGGCGTGAAGGGCTGAAGTTGTTACTACATTATGTTGGGAATAGAGTTCAGAGTAGTCTTCCACCCATCTCTCCATCTGTTGTCTTTTGTCTGTGATGACTTCCCCTGTGGTGGATTTCAGGGGAGCTGTCTTGTTCTTAGTTGGACGCATTGCTGTTTTGATGCCTTCATACATCCCTATTATGTTCCCCGTAATCTCTGCAGTCTGGATGGTTTCGCTGAGCTCGGTCCAGTAATCGTTGGCACAGCGTCTTGCAGTGTGTTTGACTTTGTTCCTTGCAGCTCGAAGAATCTGTAGATTTTTCTCGCAAGGTGACCGCTTGTATTCCATTAGAGCGGCACGCTTTGCTCCTATGATGGGGGTCATCTCAGCGAATTTGGCCTTGAACCAGTCATGCGATTTCGAGGTGTTTTATCCAAAGGTGGCCAAGGCAGTGTGGTGTATGGTAACCCGCAAGGTGGTCCACTTCCCAGTGGCGGAGTCCCCTGGTTGTGAGGTTCCCAGTTGATTCTCAAACCTCTCAGCAAATTGCTCCACAGATCAGGCTGGCTTATCTTGCTGACATCAATGCGAGGGTTCCCTTTCTTTTTGCCACGGTGAAACCTTTTTGGATGTAGTCTGACCTCGCAACACACCAAGGAGTGGTCTATGTCGCAGTCCGCGCTGTGGTAAGAGCGTCTGAGGAGGACGTTCTTAATAGCGGTTCGTCTGACCAGGATGAGATCCAGCTGATGCCAGTGTTTTGAGCGCGGGTGTCTCCAGGAGACCTTCCTTGTGCTGAGGTTTGGTGTTGAAGAAGGAGTTGGCTATGCAGAGGTTGTGATAAGTGCATAGCTCGAGCAGTCTTTTGCCATTGTCATTCATGTTGCCAATGCCAAACTTTCCAAGGCAAGAAGGCCACGATCCTTGATCAGCTCCTACTCTGGCGTTGAAGTCGCCCAGAAGGATGAGTTGTTCCTTGTTTGGGATGTTGCTGATCATGGCTGTGAGTTGATCATAAAACTCGTCTTTAATGTCAGTTGTAGCGGAGAGTGTTGGAGCATAATAATAATAATAATAAGAATAATAATAATAATAATAATAGTAATCTTTAGACAGGGTGCGTTATGACAAAAAGTGGTTTACAGAACGGCCCTGTATAAAGTAGATTAATAGAGGAAAATAAATACAAATTACAGACGTTGAGAAAATATATAAGCTAAAGGGATAGAATTGCTACATCACAATACTTAGGATTATGTAAAAAAGCAAAAAATTGGTAGTTACAAAATACTACGATAAAGACTGCACTTTCATTTTAAACAATAAAGTTGATTTAGATTCCTGAATATCTGGATTAAGATTATTACAATCATTTGATGCCTGATATGTAGTTTTTGTTTTCCCCAGTTTGTTTTGGGAGCTGGAAGATGCAGTTTGTTACACTGGCGGGTATTATAATTTTGAAAGGCAGTGTTATGCTTAAAATTAAAATCAAAGTCAATGATGTTATTCAAGCATCTAAAAATAAAAACGCATCGGTGCATCTGCATCTGTCGTCTTTGATCTAAACGCCTCCTTTTTAAGGACTCAAGAGCATCGGTGGCGGAAGAATACTTGGCCTTGTCAAGAATTATTTTAGCTGCCTTGTTTTGTTGGGTTTGGAGATCGTTCAATAATGTAACATTGTTTTTGTCACCCAAATGATGCCACCGTAGTCAAAAATATGAAGAATTAGAGAATGGTAAAGTATCAACCGAGCGTGTAATGGTAAAAGATGCTTGATTCTTCTGACAAGTCCCAGTCGCTGATTTGTTTTCCTTATGATATTTTTAACGTGATCACCCCAGGATAGATCTTTGTTCAGTGTTGCACCCAAGTATTTGAGAGAGCTAGCTTCTTCCAGCGGACTGTCGTTGATATGGATAGCGACAGTGCGTAACGACTTCAGACGGCGTTTACTCCCAAATAAAAGAAATCTAGATTTAGAACAGTTAAGAGTAAGGAGATTAGACTGTAGCCAAAGCGAAGCAGATTCGAGGTCCTTGTTTAGAAAGGTCTCCACGTCCTGAGTTGATTTGGCAGAATAATAAATTAAAGTATCATCAGCGTAGAGAATGATCTTACAATGCTTGAGATATTGAGGTAGATCATTAACGTATATGATGAACAGAAGGGGTCCAAGTATGCTTCCTTGGGGCACCCCGACTGTGACTGGCCTCGGAGACGAGAGACAGTCTCCGATTGTGGTGACCTGCTCATGATCAGTTAGTTAGGACTTAAACCAATCCATTGAATTTTGATTTAGACCTAAGAAATGCAGTTTCTTTAGTAAAATTTGGTGATCGACCGTATCAAATGCCTTGCTAAGGTCAAGGAACGCAGCGCCTGTAATAAAGCCATTGTCCATTTTTTTCAGGATATTCTCAGTCAGATGAGCAAGGGCCATCTCAGTTGAGAGGTTTGGGCGAAACCCAAACTGTTCAGGGACCAAAAGGTTGTTCTCCTTGAGGAAGGTAAACAGTTGACGGTGAACAGCTTTCTCGAGGATCTTGCTTAGAACGGGTAAGATTGTAATAGGTCTGACATTACCTGCGCTGGTTCGGTCACCAGATTTAAAGATTGGAACCACCTTTCCCCTTTTCCATATAGCCGGAAAAATATCAGAAGAAAGCGATTTATTCAATAAAAAGGTAAGGCACGGTGTGATGACATCAGCAGAATCTTTAAGAAGGCGGGCGCTGATCTTATGGAGTCCAATTGCCTTTTTAATTCTTAGAGAGCTTAGGTATTTCCGCACGAAACTTTGTTCTATGTCAGAGAAGCTGAAAACTGAAGGTGATGAGGTAACCCAGGAAGGGTACTGACAGGTGGTGCATCGATCTCCTATAACGTTGGCTAGACGTGTCCCGATAGATGTAAAATAATCGTTAAGGACATTTACAATTCAAGAAGGATTGTTATCCAAAACTTCGTCAGAAGAGATACACGTAGGACCGCTCCCAGATTTATTTTCGCGGTTAGTAATTTCATTTAGGGTTTTCCAGAGACCAGCACCATTGTCTTTGTTATTGTTGATACATTCTTGGAAATAATTAGACTTGGCTTGTTTCACTTCTTCGTTTGTTTTGTTCCTGACTTTGCGATATGTAGACCAAACAGCAGCAGAATTTGATTTCAGTGCTTTCTTATGGAATCGATCTCGATCTTGTATAAGTTTAGAGAGCTGGGGCGTCATCCACGGGGTCTTTAGGCCTTTAACTCTTTGAATTTTTATGGGAGCGTGTTGGCCAGCTATGCTGGAGTAGATTGTACACCATGTATTTACAGCAGTACTGACATCATTTGCATTGTAACCAGGGGACCAGTCTGTTGATCTAAGATCTTGAAGGAAGCGTTCTTTATCATAATGTTTAAATAAACGATACTCAATAGCACGCGGAGGAGCCTTGGGAACACCAGCTTTTAAGGTGCAAAACACCAGCTGATCACTTAACACCGGTAAACTGCTGTTCTCCGTGTTGTGTCGACCCCATGGCGTAGCTGGAGTGTCCTCTCCAGGTGTAGTGCGAGGTGTGTTAGTGTGTGGTGTAAGCGGATGCTAGCCTGGGCAGTATACAAAAAAAGTACTTTTTTGTTTGTTTTGATCGCAAAGCAATTGCGCTTAAGAAAGAGAAATTTTGATTGACAGTGTAAGAACTAGTTCCCTTAATGCAAACCATGACGGTAACGGTAAAGATTACATGGCAAAACAAAAGATCAAATGGGCGGAACAAAGCTCAGCACGTGCTTATAAAACTTTGTACATTTCTCAGCTGTCGTCTGCAAAACAAACAGCGTTTGATCTGCGTGGTCTGTGAACAAAACGCACAACGGCAAATTATCTATCAAGGCAGCCCACATACGTTGTGCTGAAGTTGGAGTGCGGCTTCGCTATAGGTCCTTAAAGGCTCTTTTAAACGATTTCAACACCTAACCAACATTCGTTCGACAAAAGTTGAACGGATGGTAGGCAAATGTTTAACACAAAAACGAAGTTGTGCGGCGGCGTTTCTAAAGGCCTTGCAAAGGCTTTACAAAGGCCTTAGAAAGGTCTTACAAAGGCGTTACCAAAGAGAAGTTGAATCGATTTTCAATGAAAGTTTAAACCGACTCAAGCTCGGCACAACACGCTTTCAACAGCTTTTAACAGTTTATTACGCTATCAACGATGTTGGACGACCTGTTTAATTGCACTGACCAATTGGTTCAACAAAGTGTTGAATGAACTTGAAGCAAATGTTGAAGTCGTTTCAACGGGCCTTAATTAATACTGACTGGCTCTTTGCAAACTTCTTAAATTAAGTATAAATTCAAACTGCCTCAGTACATTTCAAACTCATGCAGTATAAATTTGTACTGAATAAGTTTGCTTTTGATGAGTTGCCACATTTTGGATTGATGACTGGACACCTTTTTACTTCTTGAGTATGATAAGCCAACTCAACTAGTTAAAAGTTAGCTAATTGGTTAATTTTGTACTAGTTAGTTCATTCCAGATTTTTTTTTTTTGGTGTTCCAAGATGACAATAGATCTAATAAGTACAAAATTTACGTGAGACCTCTGCTCAGCCAGTAGATGATTAAAAAATAGGTATTTCATATAGTTTTCATGAGAAGTACCTTTAGAACAAAGTGCGCACATTAATATATGGAATTCGAACATAAAATATTTCCTTCCATGAAGAATTCTACTAACAGCCCTTTGATAACTTTTTAAATGGACGAGAGTTGTTACATTGTATTTTGTAGTTATTTCTTGTATCTATAGGTCTTTCACGATAATTATGCGTTTTACCTGCTCCCAGAAATACATCCGCTTTAGGCCTTAAGATTAAGAGGCGACGCCATCTTATGTATCATGGGTATTGAGGAATATTTAACAACTATTCACCGAGGTGGAGGTGGTTAGTGGTGGATATTTACCGAGCCGCGAAGCGGCGAGGTAAATATCCACCGCTAACCACCGACACTGAGGTGAATAGTTGTTTTAGTATATACTAAAACAGTGAGATAATATACACCACC